CTTTCCCTTCCTACGCCGCCGCCAACGTGCTGGTGCCGCCGGCCGCCCCCTTCCCGCTGGGCGCCGGCCCCTTCGCTCCCTTCCTGGGCCCCGCGTACCTCGGGCCCTTCTACGGCCCGCACCTCTGAGGCGGCAGGGCCGGGGCAGCCCCCGGGAGCCAGGAGCGCACCTCAGCCCTTCTGACCCAGCGGGGAACACCGTCCTCACTTCTGCTGGTTTCGTGACGATTTGAAGTGTAAGAAAGCTGATTTTTCCTAGGCGTCACGGCAGCATGCTTAACTTTGACACACTGAGAAAAAAACCCCACTGTAACCACTGGATTTTATTAGCACCTTTGAGATGTAATTATAGGTGTTGGAGATGGGAAAAGTAACCCTCTTTACACATGCCTGACACTAATTCCCTGCAGATTCTTCTCCAAGTTCATTGTTAAGATGCTCCTCGTTGCTGTTCGGCTTGCCAGCACACGTCTGAACCCTCGAGGGCTCGGGAGCTGTGGCACTCGTTAGCACTGCTGCGATCCTGATGCTGATGAGGGTGCAGGCGGCCGTGTCGAACCCCAGGGATGCTCGCCAGTGAAGGCGTCCCCAGGCTCTGACTGTGCTCATGGCACTCTACTGAGCCCCGTTTGACTCACGTTTCTTTATCTGTTCCTAAAAAGCGCCAGTCGCGTTCTTGACACCCTACCTGGAGGAGAGGTTTTGTTTGGGAAGGTGCAGGAAAATGCAGCTCTGTGTCACTGGGAGACAAGAAGGAAATCTGCCTGGTCAGTGGGAATGTGTTCAACTGCTGCTCATATCCACGGCCTTTCTGCCTTTCCTTGCAGTTCATTCCCAGTGACTTCACAGGTTTTGGATAAGAAGTCTAAAGATCATTCTTTTTGCAGAGAACAGTTGTTCTTGTAATAACACAGCATTAGCGCCAAATGAGGCAGAAACGAAAACATAAATCAGAGAAAATGATTACATTATTCATTTCTTTAAAAATGGGGCATTTGTGGTAGAAAGTAAGTAAAACACAGAATTTCCAGCATGCTGAGACCTATTTTCCATAACAGAGAAACACATGCTTTTTCTGGTTTTGCTTTTTGGAGCATTTGTTAGAAGGAAAATCACATTTCATCTTCATCGTTACAAGCACCGGAATGAAAAGGAATTTTAGCTGGGGGCTCATCTGTCCCTGAACGGACGGGAAGTAATTGGTTTAAAAAAATCTGTCTCATGCAGTTTTACAAATGATTACCACACAGTATTCCAGACTGTATCCTCGCTGTCTCTGACAATGCTTTAAAGCACACACTGGCTTTCCAACCAAAAAACTTAGCTCATAAATCCTATCTAGCTCTTGTGTTGGTCTAAATAAAAAGGGTTTTTAAATTATTCCCTGTTCAATTGCTTTTAGTTGTACTTGGATGAAGCACTGTCTGCTTTGTGGACTGTTTGCCAACCTGGTGCTGATCTTGATGGTCCCTGTGCCGCATGTCAGTGACTGAGGGTGATAGCTCATCTCCTGTGGGCTGGATGTGAGGACATGGTTGATGGGACAACCCTCTCTTGCAAAAATCACCCTCGTGACCTCCAGCTTTGCAGGGATCAAGGGTGTGAGAGCCACAAGCCTAAGCTTGGACCAGCTGAAATGACCTGAGGTTGTCTTTCCACAGCAAGAGGAGGTACCCAGTGTCTTCTCAGTGATTTGCAGAGCTATTAACAGAACACAAAGTTCACCTCAGGTCATGGGTTTGGAAGTCACGGCTGCTGTACCAATGTGCTTACTTGGAGGTTAATTTAAGTAACTTTTTAACCCTCCTTTAAGTTTGAGTTACAAAAGACGGGGTCATTTTAGCTGCTTGGGGTGCATCCAGAGCTGCCTTCCTTTCTGGCCAGGCAATCAGCAGTCCCAAGTGCCTGAGCCATCAGGTCCCACCACTGCTGACCAACTGTGTGTCCACTTCTGACACTCATGGGCAGTTAAGAGCTCAAGCCCTGGAGGGAAGGAAGGGCATTCCTGCAGGCTGATCTCGTCCATTTCCTCTGCCTCAAGTTAGGACTAACTAGACCTAAATCCTCTTGACTATTCATGGCCTCCTACTTGTGATTGTCATCGCTGTCCATGTGAAAAACAGGTGTTGATATCACCTTGCTGTCACTCTGAGAGGTTCCCAGAGCATGGTACGGTTGGTTATCCACAGTGTACCCAGATCCCTGGTAAAAGCCAGGCTTGTGCCCTGCTATGGTCATGTGGGCACTTCCTTTCCTTGAAAAGTGTAAATCATAGCAAAAACCAGGGAATGCTACAAGTCAGAATAAATAGTATAAATTGTCTTCCTTCCAGATGTGGTTTTTGCTGTTCATAAACCTTTCAAGGCTCTGCTTTGCCAGCAATTTTACCCTTGCCAAAACTGCATTAACTTTAGAGGAAATATTGATTCCTATGCAAGATGCTCTAGCTTTTCCTTTTTCCTATCACTCTGTGAAGTCACTTCTAGCCCAGATTCCCAAAAAATGTTTTCCAGTTATTTCCAGAGACTAGAGCAGTCATGGTCCCCACTTTACAGGACTTGCACCTCTGCATGGCATTAGAAGGGGGATGCACATCAATGGGAATGCAGATTTTGTGGCTCTGATCCCACACCACCAAAGTTTTCCTGTCTAAATGCTTCCAAGCCCCTTTGGACAGAGCCTTCCCTCCCTGCTTTGTTGAGTGGGGACTGCTTGGGTGGGTGATTCTTGTTAGGGATGTGGTGACTGGGCACTTACTCCAGCTGAGGTTCCAAGCAGTCCTGGGAGCAGCAATTGCAGTCAAACTTTGCGTTGCCCAGATGAGGCCATTTGCACTGCTAACACTTCTAGAAATGCCCCACTGAGTATCCATTATCTCTAACAATTCTAAATAAAGATTTGTGCAATATTTTCAGGCACAGACAGAAATTGACTTTACTCACAGCTGAATATAGATGTTAAAAGGAATCACAAGAAAGTCCTATGTGTAAAAAGCAAACCATGCATTTATATTAAATTAAAAGGGGTTTGAATTCAAACACTTCAGAGAGAACAGGAAAGTTAGGAGCCTCCCTCATTCCTGGGCAACCTGATCTAGTGGGTGGCATCTCTGCCCATGGCAGGGAGTTGGAACTTGGTGATCTTTAAGACCCCTTCCAACCCAAATAATTCTGTGACTCAGCACCTGACTGTCTGCAGTAAGCAGGCAGCAGCAGCTGAGGGTCAAACTGCCCAAACTACTGCCAATTCTGAGTCCAAGAACCACAAAATCACTTTGGAAACAGACTTCATTTAACCTGATAATGAAACAAGTACAGGGAGGCACACTGTGACATCACAGCCAGGGAAATGTTAGAAATGTCAATTTAACCAGACTTTCAGATCGGTACTTAAGAAAAAATATCCACAAGAATTCATGCAGTTGAGTTTGCAAAGTTGGAAGAATACAATGAAAAATTAAATACATGGAGGAATGAAAGATAAAATGTATTTATTGATATGTCAGTGACCAAGCATTTTTCTTGAAGGAAATCAATGTGATTTGTTGTGTAATACCTGTCTGGAAAATTAAACTAAAGCCTATTTCCTTCCTAGCAACCTCTCTCTTATTCTCTCTCTCATTATTATTAGAACTGCTTCTGGCAGAGCAGTTCCTTCCGAAGAGATGTGATGATCACCGATTTTTGTGGTCACTGTGGAGCATGTCAGTCTCACCTCCTGGTGGCAGCAGAGGTTTGGAGGCTCAAAGCAGTGTTCTCTGGTGACTCAGGAATGAATGAGAAGCGTTGCTGTGCTCCCAAATACCTCTCGGGAATGGGAGCAAAGTCTGATTTTCAGCAGCTTTACAACTCACAGGCAGACGAGACGTCTAGCAAAATATTTGGTGGATGACATCCTCCTGAAGAAAAATTGATAATAATGTTCTTGCACCACTAGGCCTGAACATCGCTTTTGTTTTCCAGCTGAAGTCACCTTGATCTTTACAGCACTTTGTTGTCATGGCAAACTCATGTTGTGGGCCCCATTTCTGGTAGTGCACTCAGTAAAAGTTTCTGGGAAGATAATGATGTGTACAACTAATTTATGAGCTGCTTGTTACAGATTTGCTTTATTCTCTTAGCTGGCATCTTTACCATGCTGTTCACAGGAGCTGTTCTGTGGTGGCTGTGATTCATGGAGCCTGTAGCAGCACTACCACTGCTTTCTGCTGTAGCACAAATATTAAACTCCATTTCTCTTAGATTTTCCTCTTCAAACACTGAAAAGTTCCCATGCTGGCTTCTTTCTCTCATCTCTTTTTCTGTGTAACGCCATGGGAAAAATGTCATTAAAAATGTGGCATTCCATAGGGCTCAGGCACGCTGCAACACTGCAGAGGCATTTTAGCAGTATTCAAGATCTGTGCTTTTCCACTGAGCAGCCTCTGACAGATTGAAAACACTTTGAATAATACCAGATCTATATACAAGATCAATACAAATAAAAGATTTCTCTCCTTTCTACACATACTGATTTATTATAGTAGCTTTGATCATAAACAACCGGTATTGTTTAAAGAAAGATGCCTTAAACAGTCATTTAAAAAAAGAGAGAATATATGAAATTGCATCAACTTTGCAAAATGGGAACCTTCAAAGATGTCAAATTTTGTATCTGTGGATCTTTAAGAACCGGACACAACAAACTGAGAGTAGGGTGAGGTTAGTTCTGTGATGATGTCCCAACATCCAACACCTCCCATGGTGTTTGTGGGTAGCAATTGGACTGACAGCTTTTCTTATCCATGGAATTACCCTGCAAAGCACAAACATTGGTAAATTCAAGATTTGCTGCATTTCACTGAAATTGTTCCAGAAGAGCAACTGATGAATCCTAGAACAGTTTGGGTAGGAAAGGACCTTAAAGACCATCAAGTCCTAACCCCCCTGTCATGGGCAAGGAAGTCTGATAGACAAGCTGAAGTGAGCAAAGAATGAACTAAATTCTTTATCAGTTTATTTGAATCTTCTAAGGAACAGGCACTTGATAGTTTAAGAGTAGGCAATTTCTGTCAAGGTCTTGCTGAAGATTCCTTCCTTTTGGCAGTATGCCTTCCCTATTTCCACACCTCAAAGTGTGTGATTTTTGAAAACAATTATGATAAAGAAATTGTCTTGAAACAATGGATTGCAAGTGAATTTCTTTGTCCTAAAATGTATCAAGAAAACCTTTATTTTTTCTGAATTATCTAATATTCTAGAAAAATCTGAGGATCATTTAAAGTCCTGACTGGGGACGTGCAGGAAGTGCCAGCACATCATCCTGGGGTAATGACAAGTGACAGGTGATGCAATAGGTCACCTTGCTGATCTTTCACCTCAGTGATGCCCAGTTAAAGCCTGACCTGGGGCATTATGTAACTTGTCCAGTGTCTGACCACAGCAGCCCTGAGGTCAGAGCTGAGTGCTCACCATTTAGCAAGGTTGTCAATCCTGGTGGCAGCAATGTCAAACTCTGCAACAGCAGGGCCAGTGGGGATGTGCCACGCTGGAATTTTGAGAAGTTTCCCAGCTCCTGAGATAAAGCATATCCAGATGTTCAGTGCTCAATCCTGAGATTAACCAAATTGACAAGGTATTTATTCTTATTACCCAGTTAGAAGTATTTATGTTCGTGTTCTGTGTGCTCTCAGAGCTGCCATCTGGGTCAGATTTTCAAAGTCAGGAGAGCATGTAAAGGAGTTTTTCCAGAAATCATTGTTCTGATAAAACCCAAGAATGAAGATTGGAAGTTAGGAAGCATCAGGTCCTCAGGATCCAAATGAAAATACATTTATTGAAGGAAGAATCAAGGTCACATCCAAGGCACTTGAATGCCTGAAATTTAAACCAACTCTCACTTTTTTCTTTGGATTTTATTTTAACATTTGTGAGTTTTATGCTATAAAATTCCAGTCATAAAACTCTGTCTTGGGAAAGCCAAAAAAAGGTTATTTTTTCCCAAGCTCTCTCCAGTCTTTTTGCTAGTATGATTCCAAGGAATGTGATGCTCACCAGAAATGTGTGTAGAAAGGCTCATTAAATTAACTACAAGTCCAAGAAATTAAACCTTTAGGTTCCACACAGAAATAAAATGTTTCACCTCATTTTGTGGAAGACTTTGGATGAAGGTATTGTTGAGCTGCAGTGGAAAATAACAGTTCAAAATAAGTTCAAACATGGGGAGCAAAGCTTGAGAGAAGACAGCAATTTAAATTCCTTTGATTCTGTAATTCACTTATCCATGCTGTCATCTAACAGAGTATCACAGAAATCTTTGTAAAATAAGCCAACATACAAATCAGGGAGGATAAGTATGAACTATAGCTCAAGGTTGATATTGCAAAAGAAATATCAGCTCTAAGGGTTGTTTGTGGTGCTTTAAGCTGGGTTAACTAACACCCATCCAATAAAACAGCATTATTTTGAGGGGGCTGTGCTATGCTTTGCCAAACTATCCTGAAAGATATGAGCTAAAAGAGAAATCCCTAAGTGGTCTTGAGAGGCAGATCTGCTTTGCATGCATTACAATTTGTTGCTGCACTGTTCTGACACACTGCACTGGGAAATATTCTAGCTGTGCTGCAGGAAAGGCTAAGGTTTCTTGTCCTGCAAGATATGTCTTAATGCAGAGTTCTACTGTCAGTAAATAACCAGAATAACACAATCATGGGCCATGGAAAGCCATTTTTCTACATAAAGCACTATAAACAATCCAATAATCCTACCCTGTGCCTGAGGGCGTTGTCCAAATGTTCTTTGAGCTCTGTCAGGCTGGGGGCTCTGCCCACTGTCCCAGGGAGCCTGTTCAGGGCCCGACCACCCTCTGGGGGAAGAACCTTTCCCTGATATCCAGGGTAAACCTCCCCTGACACAGCCCTGGCCGTTCCCTCGTTCCTGTCCCTGGTAACAGAGAGCAGGGATCAGTGCTGCTCATCCTCTACCCATCGTGAGGAAGCTGTAGGGTGTTAGGAGGTCTCCCCTCAGTCTCTCCTTCTCCAGACTGAACAAACCAAGTGACCTCAGCTGCCACTTGTACAGTCTCTCTCCAGACCCTTCACCATCTCCATAGCTTCCTTAGGTCACTTTCCAGCAGCTTTATATCCTTCATTGTCAGACTGCAACTGAAGGCTGAGTTCCCCAGGACAATGTTAACTGTGAGGTTTACCTTCAAACCTGCCTTTGGCTCAGAGAAGTGCCTATTTTTCATTTTTGCTGGGTGGCAGCAGAGTTTCAACAGGAGGAGAAAGGATGAAGCCTATCTTGTGGCTTTGCTATGGGTGGGAGGAGAGGTGGGACTGTCCTTGTGCCAGCTCTGTAGATGTTTTTAGGGTTTAGGGTTAGGGTTACCTGGTTTTAGGTAATGATGAACTTGCACCTTCAGCCTCCTGGCTTGGGTGAACTCCAGCCTGTGCCCTGAGGTGAGGAACTGTCCCATGCCACTGAAGAACTCAACACTGCTGCCATGGGGCAAAACATCAGCTCCTGAGTAACGCTGGATGTTTCCTGCAGCGTTCCTAAGACAGTGACAAACTTGAGTGAGGGTCCTGCAATCCTGCCTTGGCACCAGTGCTTGAGCTGCTCCCACGAGCAGCAGGTGAATCCCTAGCACATGTTTGTGCAGCCAAACAGACACACAATTCCCTGTTATTTACTCTACCTCTAAATAACCACAATAAGGGGGATGCAATTCCTCGGTCTCTTCACAAGCCTAATTCCCAACGACTTCAATGAGCATTTCTGCCTGAGACAGAGCTGTGGAATTACTCCTAACAACTGGCATGACTTAACTTGTTCCTTCTTATAACTTTATGGTTTACTTACATGTCAAATTGTATTTTCTGGATTAGCAGAATGAATATAATAACCCTCTTTCTTCAAGTAGGTCAGAGTTTTCCTCTTTTCTGCAGGGCAAATTACTGTAAAATGTGAACATTTCATGGATTCCCTTTTCCATATTTTGGTTATTGTCATGTGGAGTCTTTTAGGTATCTACAGGTAACAAAATAATACACATTAAGCTTCTGCTTTCCCTTTTTTATTCACATAAAATATTTCATCCAGCTGAGAGCAATTCCTCCAAGATCTACAGTAATAACTGCTACTGTGCACAATGTGAGTGGTTTAAAATTCTAACTTGATAGTTTTTAAAGAAGAAAAGAGGATATTTTCTGTGTCTTGATAATAAATACCAAAAAGAAAGGAGGAAAGAAAGTGAGCCATGACACTGATCCTACATAAAACTGATCAGGTGTAAATTAAACAGAGCTTTGAATGCACTTTCTCTCAGGTCTTGATTAACCAGATTCCAGTTTGAGAATTACTTCATATTTATAATTTTTAATCTCAGAAACAGTTTGTATCAGCTTTAAAAAATACATTTACATATAGTATCTGTGCATTCCACATCTTACAGAATACATAAAGCAAGCAAGCCTTTTCTTGCTTGAGGGTTGCTTGTTTGTTTATTTGCTTGTTTTTGAATCTCCAGACAGGAATCTGCTGTTTTCCTGCATGTCTGGTTTCTGAAATCACCTCTTGGGGCAGTTTGTCTGCAGCTCCATGAGGCAGAGCTGAACCCAAGATTCAGCACTTCAATTGATCTTGGTTGCCTTTAGTTTGCATTCTTTACGTTTTCAGATGTGTATTACCCTTATAGGATAGGTGCTATTTAATCCTTTGGACAAATTTTGTTCTTTCTGTATTTTTCTGCTTATTGTGAAAGGAACATGGTTGGATAAATCCAAACCAATTTGGAGATGAGCTTAAGAATAAGAGTATTTAAAGGAGGTAAAAGGCAGCTCTTGAGTTGAGTCTATGAAAGATGAAAGGGATGTAGCTCCCAGCACATTATTTTTGTGGCTAGATAGATAGAGGGCATCATTAGCATGACCTGAGATAACAGAAAAGTGACCTGCCATGCTAATGAAATGTCAGAGAGAAAAACAATCTAACCTTAAACCAACATTTCTTACCTGGGAAAATCCCATTGATCTCATGGATTGCAAATTCTGTAAGGCTAATTAAGAAATGTGAGTATGCAACAAACAAAATTATGTGATTTTTTCCTAACACCAGAGATTGCAGAACATGGCTTGGACTGGAAGGGACATTAAAGATCGTCCACTTTGAAACACCCCCTGATATCCAATCTAGATCTACTCTCTGGCACTGGGAAGCCATTCCTTTGTCCTGTCCCTCCAGGCCCTTGTCCAAAGTCTCTTCCATCTTTCTTGTCAGCTCCCTTCAAGTACTGGAAGGTCCCAGTTAGGTCACCCCAAAAGTTCTCAAGGATGAGCAATCCAAATTCTCTCAGCCTTTCCTCACAGCAGAGCAGCTCCATCCCTCTGATCAACTTGGTAGCCTCCTCTGGACTTGTTCCAGCAAGTTCTTGTCCTTCCTATGCTGGGGATGGAGTCAGATGCAGAACTCCAGGTGGGATCTCACCAGAGTAGCATAGAGAAGCAGAATGAACTGGGACAATATGTAATACTCTAAGCAGAGAGGTCATTGCTTATTCTCAGCCTTAAAACTTAATCATTTTCACAAAAAAATCATAACTTCAACTAGAAATAAAGGGGTTCCAATAGCTCCTGGATAATAACTGTCTCTGGACTTAAGAAACTTGGCACAGTACAACTGTGTATTCATTCAGCAGTCATGACTCTGAAATGTATTTTGCAATTTAGCACCTAAGGCACAACTTTTGGTGCTTTATGAACTCATCTTTGGCAGCAGATGCAGGGCACTGTTTGCTGGCAGAATTGGGCTAGTAGGAGACACAACCATATTAGCAAATTGAGCCTAACTCTCTGTGTGTTTATAAAGAGCTCAACATCATCCGTTTTCCTCCCAGCCCTTGCTGCATCAAGCTGACTGCACATTGAGAAAATTTTCTCCAAAGGCATAAGCAGTGCTGCCCCCTGACATCCAAGGTTTGAGCAATTTGGTTAGATAGAAGATATGACAAGGTTCAGGAATATTTTCAAATGGTTTGCTTTAGTGAGGCGAAGCTATGCAAATTCTCAGTGTGTCAACTAGGATATCATGTTTTCTTTGTGGAAGAAAGAAATTATTTTCCAGCATTGATAAATTTGTCAGGATGATTTATGGACAAAGGGCAAGAGGCAACCAGAAGTTACCACTGCTAAGAATAAGGGGTTTTTTGGTTTACTTTTTTTTTTTGTTTGGTTTTTTTTTTTTTTTTTGTTGCTCTTCCTAGTGAGATGGACACAATAAAAAGTGAAATACTGTTTGTTTTCTTCTGTACTCTGCTCTTGTGAGATCCCACCTGGAGTGTTGGAGCAAGCCCAGAGGAGGGCACAGCAAAGATGTAAAACTTCTATGAGTAAAGGCCAACAGAATTTGAATTGTTCAGCCTGGAGAAGAGAAGGCTCTGGGGAGACCTTGGAGCCCCTTCCAGTGCCTAAAGAAGCTCCAGAAGAGCTGGAGAGGGACCTGGGACAAGGGATGGAGGGACAGGAAAAGGGGATGGCTTCCCACTGCCAGAGGACAGGGTTAGATGGGATATTGGGAAGGAATTGTTCCCTGTGAGGGTGGGCAGGCCCTGGCACAGGGTTCCCAGAGCAGCTGTGGCTGCCCCTGGATCCATGGAAGTGTCCAAGCCTGGGACAGTGGAAGATGTCCCTGCCCATGGCAGCAAATGGAACTGGATGAGTTTTAAGGTCTTCTCCAACCCAAACCAGTCTATGATTTTTTTGGATAAAACCAGAATGTATTTATGAATCACACCTCACAGTTCCCCTTAAACGCCCAGATCTTGTGGTTACAAAACGTTCTCTAGGTGTAATTTAACCCGGGGAAAGGTCGGGGTTGTGCTGGCTTGTTCCAACCTGTCCCTGCTCACCTGCTGGACCCAGCTCCAAGCTCCTGCTCTGAGCACACCGGGCCCTCCTGGAGCTCACTCCCCCCATTCCCTTCCTCTCTCCCAAGGCAGCAGAGCCTCAGGTTCGGGGTTCCATCAAGGCCCTTCCATGTGGAGAAGGGCAGGGCTTGGGTACGCGGAATGGACCGTGACACTGGGGAGAAGATTGGTGCGTGTAGGCAAAATCACCTGGCACAGGAACTCCGTGAGAAACCCCTTAGCAACCTCAGTGAACCCCTGGCTGTTATTTCGAATTATTTTATTTTAGCCGTATGTTAAAAGATCTGAAGAAAGCCCATGCACATCTTTTGGGAAGAGAAAGGTCAGGGCTGAGCACACACAGAGCACTTACACATCCCTGGGGATCCTGCAGTCGCCAGCGGAGTTACCACCACCATCCCACACACTTCCCATTCCCAGGAATGTTTTCCCAATTCCTCTCATTTTTTGTCAGTGCTCGCCCTTTTCTACAGTGACTTCCTCGAGGGCCCAAGTGCGGATGAGCAGTGACAGCGGCGGGAGGCGCTGGGGCGGAGGGGTTCCTCCCGCCAGGCTGTCTGTGGGGTTCTGTGGTTACAAAGATTGCTCCCAAGGCTAATTCGGCAGACGGGAGACGAGCCCGCAGTCTGAGAGACGGGGATGCCGGTGTGAGGGATGGGGGAAGGCGGTGAGAGAAGGGGGACGGGACGAGCCGGTCTGAGGGCCGGGGGGATGCGGCGGGCGGGGCTCGCGGGTACCGCCCCTGAGGGCCGCGGTGGGCGGGGCCCGGCTCGAAGGCGTCCACCTTTGGGGAGCCCCTTCGCCAAGGGGAAGTGCCGAAGAACGGGGGCGGTGGCTGCCAATCAGCTTCGACAGCCAATCGTCAGGGGTAATTTTGGTGACGTCAGCAGGGAGGAGGCGGGGCGAGGAGCTGTTACGGTGGCCCGCGGCCGCATCCGCCTCTCATCCGCGGGCTCCGGCACCGGCAGCACCTCCGGCACCTGCGGCCGCTCCGCACCTCCAGCAGCACCAGGTACGGCCCGTCCGGCCCTCGGGGGCCATTCCTGCCCCTCTTCGGGCCACCGTGCCCCAGTTCTGTCCCGCCGCAGCCGGCCCCGTCGGCAAGGCCCCGGGAGCGCTGTCGCTGTGCGGGGAGCGGGGGAGGTGACAGCCCGTCCCTTCCTCTGTGCCTGTGTCAGCCCCGCCAGGCGATGCCACATCCTTGCCTCTGCAGTGTCTTTGACCGTGGCCTTGGCGGGGAGATGGCGAGCTGGATCGGGTATTTCACCGCTGGGTTTATTGCTTTTCCTATTTTTTTTTTTTTGTTTGTTTGTTTGTTTTGCTGGAGAAAAGAAGGCTTAGAGGGGACCTTGTCCCTTTCTACAACTCCCTGAAAGGGGTCTGTAGCAGGGCAGGGATCGGGCTCTTCTCCCAGGTATAAGTGACAGGACGAGAGGAAACAGGCTCAAGCTGGGCCAGAAGAGGAAATACCAGGAGGAAACTCTTCACAGAAAGGGTGATCAGACATTGGAAGGAGCTGCCCAGGAAGGTTTGGAGTACCCATCCCTGGAGGTGTCCAAGGAAGGCCGGGATGTGGCACTCAGGGCTCTGGGCTGGGGACAAGGTGGGCATCGGGCACAGGCTGGACTCGGTGATCTCAGAGGTCTTTTCCAGCCTCGGTGATTCGGTGATTCTGCAATTCTTGTCTGCCAGCCTAGGTCCTGAGCTGTTCCTGCTGGTCTGCACAGGTAGCTTGGCATGTCCACACTGATGTCCCTCCCTGTTTGTCCCCTTGAGCCTTCACCCATTTGATTCAGCTGGTGGAGGCTGCAGTGTGGCAGCGATTCTTCTTTGCTCTATCAACATGAACCTGAGTGTTTTCATGCACTTGACACTATCCCCCATTTACCTTGGGGTGTTTTTCAGTGTCAGGTACATACAGCCATTCAATTTACCTGTGCAGTCTGCAGGCTGCTGTCTGGATAATCTTGCTCAACAGCTGAGCAAAGCTGTTCAAGTGTTTTACAGCTGTGTTTTGAGTGGTTTTTCTGTTCTGATGCAAGACCTCTTCCAGTTGGTGTAATTCCTTGGCTTCTGATTCCTGTACTGCCTGCTACAGTGCACGATCATATTTCTCACAGTTGGTAATGAGCTTGATTTTATTTCATTTTGTTTGCTTGAGTTTTTTTCCTTATTATTCCTCCTCTTTCCTGGTATTTCTGTTCATCTTGTTTTGCTGATCATCAACCCCAAATTTTCCCCTTCATTTTAACTCCAGATTCATCTTTTTGTCAGCTTTATTCAACTTTTCTCCATGTAATCTTCCACACCTTGGCTAAAGTGATGTGGCCTCACTAGCACAGTTTTCAGGGCAATTCCTTTTATGGAGGAAAAAGCCCTTTTAAAAAAATCTGATGAATATTTTCCAATATGCAAGAAGTAAAACAACAACCTCAAACTGGGGATCTGTGATCCTTCTTGCAGGGAGGTACCTCTGATATACAGCAGATAAGCATTTAACTTATTTGTACCTTTCAATTCAGGAATGTCTGGAAAATCTCCAAAATATAGCAACTTGTGATAGAATTAGCTGCTCTACCATGGAGGTGTGCCAGGGGCCAGGATGTCACAGGCCAATTACATTTTAGGGGTTGAGCAGGTTGAAATCTTGAGTCATCAATTTTTTTTCTTGCACAGAGAAGTATTTGTCTTTTTTGTTTGCAAAATCCTTGTGTAACAATCTTGAAGAGTATTAACACAAAGGGCTAATCTTTAACAGCTGGAAACATGCCCAGAGTTGTGCAGTATTAATCTCTTGCTGGAATGGAGAATACTGACTCTTCCTAAACACTTAGATTTTGGTAGATGGAGAACAAAGTCTTGGCTTTGGTTAGAAGAGAGGAGCAGCAAAGTAATACCTGAGGAGTCTGCTGAAAGAAATGCCTCTCTGTTCAAGGCAACACATTCAGGGTGTGTTTTTTTCCAAAATAAATTAGGGATAAATCCATGACTTAATATTCCTGTCTTCTGCAAACAGCCTGAAATAACAGCACCCTTGTGTAAGCCATCCTTGCATCCTCCTGTTGGTATTTAATAAATGTATTTTTGGTAGGTTTTGCAGACTGCTTCTGTTAGGTGGTGCAGCAGTGTCCAGGCTGCTCGGCTCTTCACTTTGCTGGGGAGTGTGCTACAGGGAGGCTGCATTTGATAAGCAGAGCACTTGTTGTGATCTGTGATCGTCCTCTGGGGATTAAACCTTTTGCCAGTTTTGCAAGTGTGATGTTCTGTGAGACCAGAAACCTGAGCTTGGGAGCTCTTGGCTCTCTGCTGTTCCCTGCTGTGGGAAGAGCTTCCTGAAACAGCTTTTCAAGTGCCAACTCACTCCCTTTTCTCTGGGAAGTATCATTATATCCACTGAGGTGCAGGCATGGAGAAGAAATCAAAGTGCATTTGCCTCACAAAATCCTACCCTCAGGTTATCCCTAGATGGTGACAAGGTTTTGTATACAGGGGAAATTGCTGGGAAAATAGAGTGCTCTAATGATCATTAATATCTGACATATTCTTACTTTCCATCTTTTTTTTGCTCACAGAATCACAGAATGGTTTGGGTTGGAAGGGACTTTAAAGCTCATCCAGTGGCACTGCCTGCCATGAGCAGGGACACCTTCCACTATCCCAGGTTGCTCCAAGCCCTGTCCAACCTGGCCTTGGACACTTCCAGGGATAGCCAATATCATGGAAGTTTGTAACATGATTTGTCTGATGACAATCTGGTAGGAAATGGGAATTTCAGTAGAACAAGAAATTTGATGAACTTAACTTTCTTACTGTAGTTTTCTATTAGTAAATCAGAATTTAAGGCACAGTGAAAAAGGAACACTTACAGGAAGAATGATGTAACTAGATCACAGACTTGCTGAGTCACACAGTTTTCTTTCTGTTTCTGTAAGTGTAGAGAGTAGAAAAAAAATCACTTGTTTGATGTTAATCCCACATTAATTTATACTTCATATAAGCTTTCTTGGCTGAATTGCAAAATAGTTGAGGAACCTGTAATCTTGGCAGTAAACCCACTTCAATCGTGTCAGACATTTCTTCTGAAGTGTTCTTAGTGCTAATTATTAACTTGCTTTATTTTTCTCCCTCCAGATCTGTATCAGAACTCCTGAAGTCCATCATGCTTTCCAAGCTAACCCGCTCCCAGAACCTTGCTGTTCTCTGCCGAGGCCTTCATTCCTCACTGAGCTCTGCTACCTCAGTTGCTCCTAAAAAAACCATTCAGGGGCCTCCCTCGTCTGATTTAATCTTTGAACGTGAGGCAAAATACGGTGCCCACAATTATCACCCTCTGCCTGTTGCTCTGGAAAGAGGAAAAGGTATTTTATTTAGGTTTTTCCTGGAGGTTGTAAGTGGGGTGTGTCTGTGTAGGGTGAATAAGATCATGGTAGAATGATTTTGATCTGATTGATTTCTCAATCTTTGTTGTTTTGGTTTTTTTTGGGGTGGGATTGAGATCACTGATGAAATAAAGTCAACTAATGGTTGATTAGAGCGGTGGATCATTATGCATAAGGGCACCTGAAAAAATTGTGGTGCCTCTAAAATAATTTAAAGTATTGATGATTTCCAGAATAACTCGGCAGAAAATTTTTCAAGCAACTTAATTTCTTCATGTTTTCTGTTACCTTGTGTGGAGAGGTTTAACATTAGTGTGAACATGAAAGGGTGCACTGGAACCCTCTCTAAGTCCTTGTGGGCTGTTCATATATTATCACTTAATTTAAATTTACTCTGGCCTTTAATTATGTTTGAGGATTCTTTTTTTGTCTCGTGCCTTCTTTTATTTTGTGTACTGATCACAGGTTTGTTTTCCCAGGTGTTTATGTGTGGGATGTTGAAGGTAGAAAATATTTTGACTTTCTGAGTGCTTACAGCGCTGTCAACCAAGGCCACTGTCACCCAAAGATCGTGGATGCTCTGAAAGCCCAGTCTGAAAAACTGACCCTGACATCCAGGGCATTCTATAATGATGTCCTTGGGGAATATGAGGAGCTTGTCACCAAAATGTTCAATTATAACAAAGTTCTTCCAATGAACACAGGTAAAGAAATACTGTGTTTCCATTTTGTTCTTGTCCCTGAGATTTGAAGGTAGTGTAACATTTCCTGCTGCATTGATGGCCTGTTTCATGTGTAAGACTGATAATGGTGCTCTTTTATGTTTTAGGAGTGGAAGCTGGAGAAACTGCCTGTAAACTGGCTCGGAAATGGGCCTACACTGTGAAAGGAATTCCAAAATACAAAGCTAAAATCATTTTTGCAGGTATGTAAAGTGTGTGTTATGAGTTGAGGACTTGAGGATCTGGACACTGGGTTACTGGGAGGCAGCCTGAAGTCACAGGGAAAGAACATCCATGCTCTTTTAATCACTTAAAATGCAGTGCTTTTTATTCCTGGCTTGTTCCTGCATAACTCTTTCGTGGATTAACTCCTCAAACTGGTGTCACTTTTCTCATAGAGTACACAGTAGAGTCAAGCTGCCCTCTTGGCTTCACCTACCAGGGCTTTTGTCTTGCATTCTCCAGGCTTTCCAGAAATTGGCATTAACCCAGTAAAGCCATACTGGAGCATTGATCATATAATAAAAGTAAAAGCAACATTGCTAAAGTAAATAATGAACTTTTATTCTCTGCTGGGATATTTCTTTCCTTTACCTGCCTGCCCTGCTGGGCTCTGTAACTTCAAGGAGAAGTTACCAGGCCCTGAAGAGACTTCTCTATTTTTTTTTAACAAACAAACAAAAAAATATATATAAAATTAAAAAATTATTATATTCAGTATTCTTTGGTTACAGATAAAGCAATCTTGCCAATACTAGTTTTGTTTAATGGTTCTGTATTTTAGAAAACCTTCCAGAATAAAATTTACTATTTAAATACTGACCTTTTTTTTTGTAGCTGCAGATACTATTTTTAACTTTTGGTATATATAGTAACCATAAATGTCATTAGGCAGCATTTATGAATTGCTGTACATACTTGAATTTTGCTTTATGGTTTCTGGAAATTAATAGAAATATTTTTGTTTGTTTGTTTTTTTCATTTCTTCTGGGAATTCTTTCAATAAATATTTCTCCTTTTTTCTCTATACTTTTAATTTTGCTTCTCAGACAACTTTTAGTAAGTTTTTTCTCATTTTGATAAAGGGGACGTGCTCCCTATTTTGGCAGAAAAAAAGCTCTGTCGCATAACTAAGAAATGACCTTGGACATCATTTTAAAGAAGTTAACATAGACTCTGCTTGATTGTGAGCTGTGAAAGCACTGAACCCTTAGTCTTATTAGCACCTTATTATTGATTAGTGACAGTCTCTTGTTTAAACTGAATATTAAAATGAGGATACGGTTGTTTTGGTAATGGGCATGTTGGCTCCTGGACATTTTAACTGATGTTTCTAAACAAAACAGTGCAAATCACAATATTTTTAGATATGTAAAGAGATTCTTCTGGAACTTTGAAATGCACAGAATTATATTTTCTGATTTGGGCTTATCGACAGCTTTATTTTTAGGACTTAAATTATTAATGGTGTTTCTTTTCCCCCTACATTTTATTGGTAATAATTGCATTAAAGTTGAACATTATCAATAAAAAGATGTTGTTTGAGTTATTTTCAATTTTCCAGACTATTAATGAGACTTAAGGAAATTATTTTGTACACTTGTCAGGTCTTAGAGTATAATTTCCTTTTGGTTTTTGATGTGCTTTTAATACAGCAACAGACTGTATTTATAGCATCAATACAAAATGCTGACAATTAGGAGTATGCTACTATCTTGTTAGATAACCCTTAAAATACATCACCAAGTGGAAAGTGTGATGTCCTTTATAATGTTCTGGCTTTTGGTCAGTTTTGTAACAATTTCTCCCCCCTTTTTTTTTCCAGCTGGCAACTTCTGGGGCAGGACAATGTCAGCCATCTCCAGTTCTACTGACCCATCCAGCTACGATGGCTTTGGACCCTTCATGCCAGGATTTGAAGTGATCCCATACAATGATCTACCAGCTCTTGAGGTATCTGACAATTTCTTGTTCACTTGTATGAAATAATTTTACAGTATTTTGCTCTTTGGTAAATAGCAAGGAAAATCAGAAGTTTATACTTTGAAACATGTGCTTTGACATTAAGGTATCTGTAAGTAGATGTAGATAAGGAATGTGTTTGTTATAATTATGTATAGAAAATGTAGCTAAATTCTGCTTTGGTTTTGATTTTCAGTTTTGCTTTAGGATATGAAAGGTAAACTACATGATCTGTTTAATTTCCCAGCCACCTGGTCTAGTGGAAATGTCCCTGCCCACTGCAAGAAGTGGGATGGGATGAGCTTTAAGGTCCCTTCCCACCCAAACCATCCTGTGATTCTAAGACTAGAATTCACTGTAGTTGCAAATATTTATTTTCAGTTTCACAGCATCCTTAAAACCATGCCAGGCTGCTGTTTCACTTTCACAAGCTCCTGAAATGCTAGTGATTCCCAGTATTTCCCTGTTTTATCTGAGATTAATCCTGTCAAGCTGTTGTGGGGGGGGGCTGACCTTGACTGGGTACCATTTCTGTGAGTAAAAATCTCTGTACCTGTTGGGCCTGCAAGTGATTGGGCTTTGGAGATTGAGGGATTATAGGACACAGAGCTGCTTTTCTCCTTGGAGCTGGGTTAGGGGACACAAAGGTCTCTCAGTGGGTTATAGCTGCAGTGTGGAAAAGCTTGTTCAGGTTTGAACCTTCACCAGGCTGCCCATGGTGAAAGGCCTGCAAGTATTAATGCTTTCATTAGAGCTGAATTCATGTGGGGCAATGCTGAGAAAAGCTGTAGTAAATTCCTGCTGGGAATCACTAGATCTCCTGTGCCTCATGGATTTCTAAACCTTTTTGAACTTGATAGTGCAGGAATGTACCTGTGGACTTTGCTTTAAGGTAAAACTGTTCTGGAGGGGCTCCGTGCTTTTTCTTTTTAAGGGAAGAGTTGAGCAATTGTTTGTAATGTATGAACTAATATGAAACTGAGGATATTTCTGAGGTGATTTCTGAACTGATCTGATAAACTGCTTGTCTGGGTTTGCAGTTTGCAAGGTTTGTACCTTCCCAAGCAAGCACAGCACCTGATTTTACCTTGTCAGCAGTGACAAAGCATTGGAACTGCAGTGGCACTCAGAGAGAGCTGCCTGGCAGGAATGCTGCTCTCATCCTTTGAGGAAGAACACCAGGGCTAGAATCAGGTTCTGCTATGTGTATTTTCTGTATTTGACCTGAGTAAAAGCTTTTTCTTTTTGTCTCTCCTCTCCCTGTGCCCAACATTGCAGCGGGCCCTGCAAGACCCCAACGTGGCAGCTTTCATGGTGGAACCGATTCAAGGGGAAGCAGGTGTGATTGTTCCTGACAAAGGCTATCTCACAGGAGTGAGGGACCTCTGCACAAAACACAATGTGAGAATTCACTGTAACATTCAACACTACACACTGTGTTTACAGGTGTAACTTGTAAGGTCAGCCTTCTATGCAAGGCCTAGAGCTTTATATACTATTTAGTAATTCCCTTTTTTTTCAGTGGAATAATGCAGGGATACCTCTTGTGTTTCCTGGTAATGCCTCAATAAAAAGCACTTCTTAGCAGTGCACATTTTTCACTATTTCTTACTATTGTCACTGACTCAAGTTTCTAATTACTATTCTTCAACTGGATTTACTTTAAATTAATTTAACTTCTAATTTCCACATTATAAATTCCAGTTACCATGGCTATCCAGGACCTTTGTTGCTGATGTGCATTAACTGCTGCCAAGAACCAGTAACAATAATGGGTCACAGAATGAAACACTGAGGAAAATGATTATCAGGGATCTCTGATTTTAAAATCAGTGCTCTCTGTTCCAACAGAATTCAGATTCCTAATTTGTAAGTGCTACTCATAATTCTTTTCGTATCTTCAAAGGAAGGCATTGACATATTATTAATAAAGATGTCTCCATTATTGCTGTGATACCTCAAAAGAAAATTGTGTTGTTGGAATTGGGTTAGGAATAAAAGTAATTCCCTGTTCTGTTTGGATCTTTTTTCTCTTTAAAGGTTCTGTTTATTGCTGATGAAATACAGACTGGTTTAGCCAGAACAGGGAAAATGCTGGCTGTTGACCATGAAAATGTGAGACCTGATATAATTCTTCTTGGAAAGGCCCTTTCTGGTGGCTTATACCCTGTGAGTACCAAAGAAATACCAATGATTTAAAGTAATATCAAATTACTCAAACATTTGTTGAATAATGTTGGGTTTTTTTCCTTAGTCATCAACACTGAAAATCTGCCAGTTGGAAGAACAATAAATCTGATGTTTGTTGTACTTGGAAATTATTGTTTGCAAGACTAACTATGATTTATGACCAGACAGTCCAACTTGAGAGAGACATAATAAAATAATGAAATACCTAATACTACCTTTATAACTGAACAACTGATATTATTTCATTTGTCTGGCATGCCTGCATGGCTGATTTTATCCTCTTGGATTGACTTAAATTCCTGCTGATTAGGCTGGAAATTACAATGCCTTGAACTATTTTGGCCAACTGACAGGATTTCTGAGTTAAACCAAATATTGAAGCTTAAACTCTTGAAATAATATTCAGTTTGGAGAAATTCCCCTCAGCTGTGATTGAAAGTTGTGTTACCACTCTAGCTAAGTGTATTTAAGGGATTAATTATGGGATTGTCAGATCTGCTATTCTGTACACAGTGCTGGGAATGTAAGAAAGTTTGCTTCAGAGATATTAAAGCTTCCTGTTCCAAATATGTGAATTTTCTGCCCTTCCCATTTTAGGTCTCAGCAGTGCTGTGTGATGATGAAGTTATGCTGACCATCAAACCTGGTGAACATGGATCCACATATGGAGGAAATCCATTAGCTTGCCGTGTGGCAATGGCAGCACTGGAGGTTTGTGTGTGGGAATAGAGATCTGGAATCTAAATTAAAAAGGGTCTTATGATCTTTGCTTTAAATAAATGATATTATTTTTCATGCTATGAGTAGAAATCTAGCTTTAAATAAGATTGGAAATTTGGTGGTGGTTATCTGTAGATCTTAAAACAAATTTTAGATTTTTTTATTGGAAATATGTCCCACTTTGTGTTCTTATGATCTTAATGTCTTAAACATCAAAATAAGATTTATCTAGGGGAAGTTTCAAAGCAATTATGTAGATTTGGTCAAATACCTTCACTAATTTAATGATAACAGTTTGAAATTGGCTTATTTTACTATATCAGCAGAAACTGCTGCTCTGTGAGCTCTGTGAGCTTGAGAGCAAGTATGGCTCTCAAGAAACTACAGAAACTACAACGTCCTGTCCAGAAGGTGCAATTCAATTATTTTGTGATTGCTTAATTGACTCCAGTGATGCAGGTCACACAGAAAACCTCATCACTACCCAGTACTCAGACTTGGACAGATTAAGAGCCTTGAGAGGTTTACTGTTTACTTGCAAATAACAGCAAACAAAGAGCAGTTAATTCAGAATAAAATTTCAAAGACACTATTGTTTCTTGTAGACATGAAAGAGTGAAAGCTCAATACCAACCTGCTGGGACTTGCAGCCTGTGCAGGGACACTGTGGCTGCAACAGCTTTTGTGTCTCAGCAGGTTCAGTGTCATTATCCATCCTTCCCCATGTACATAAAAGAGCAGTGCCCTTCAGCTGATTGTAGATCTGACTTCTCTTTAGGTAATTGAAGAGGAAAATCTGGCAAAAAATGCAGAAATAATGGGTAATCTGCTAAGAAGTGAGCTCATGAAGACTCCATCCAATATTGTAACTGCTGTAAGAGGAAAAGGCCTCTTAAATGCAATCGTAATCCGGGAAACCAAAGGTGAGGAAATAAAATCAACTGCACAAACACAGCATGGGGAAGTATTTTTCAACTTAGATTGTAGGTAGGGGAAGCCATGTAGACATGATGTTTGTGTTCAGAACATGGCTATAGCACTGTAGTACCCACTGAAAATTGATTTAAGTTACTGTCTGCCATTAAAAATAGGTTCTTTTAACTAAGAAAAGCCAAACAATTGTTTTTAAATTATTTGAACTCTTTTATGATTTGATAATGTTCCAACCTGATGGTGAATCTGCATCCCAACAAACACCTTTACCTTTCCTCTTTGGAAAAAAACTGTCCACATCTGGAACACCAGTTCCTGTCAGATTATGGGGCATTGGTTGGGATTATTGTTTTCAGAAGAGTTGGAAGAGTACAATGAATACAGGAGGTTATAAAGAAGAAGAAAGTTAATGATGGAGAACAAGTTTCTAGGGAGTAACACCTTGAATTATATCAGAAATCTGAATATCAATGTATTTGATCAAGGGATAAAGTGCTGCAGGAAGGTGGTGTCATTTTCCACGATGATGTGCTGAAATCCAGGTTATATAACCATAACCTTGTCTAAGTCCTGTCCACGTGTCCTTACCTCCTCTTCACATGGTTCCCCTTTTAAGATTTATTTTAAAGTCTGAGTGCCAGACAAGCACTGAGCTGTGAAGGAGCAGAACTCTGTGTGCTGAGGCAAAGCAGTGAGGCAAAGGGCAGCTCTGGAGCAGCGTCACTGCAGATTCCGGAGAGCTGCTCCGAGTGACCTCTCCCTTTGTGACCACCCTGCATCACCCCTCTGCCAGCTGGCAAACAGCACCACGTGCTGCAGGTGTGACACCTCTTCTGCTGTGCTGGGAATGTCCTCAATGTGCTGCTGATGTTCTGCCTCCCTCCCTTTGCAGACTACGACGCCTGGAAGGTGTGTCTGCGGCTCCGCGATAATGGGCTCCTGGCCAAGCCCACGCACGGCGACATCATCCGCCTGGCCCCGCCACTCGTCATCAAGGAGGATGAAATCAGAGAATCCATTGAAATCATTCACAAGACCATCCTGTCTTTCTGAAAACATGGCTCTTGCAGTCTGCCTGCTGACTGGTTCAAGAGGGTGTGTTGAAATGTGTGTGATGAAGGCCTGCTCTTGAAGCAAGCATCTCTCATTCCTTTTATCTAAGAGGACTTGACTATTCAAACATAGCTGTATCTTAAAGTTATAATGGCTGTGTAGAAAATACAGAATGATTTTGAAGACTTTCCAGCCTTGCAATACTTGGAAATAAAGTTCTGTATGTACTGATCATCTAAGTTGGAATATTTGAGGGGAGATACATATCAATTTTAAGTCTTGGCCAAAGTTTAAAGTATGATTTATATATATATATATATTAGGTTGCCTTGCACTCTCATATCACTCTCCAAAATATTGCATTTGGCAATTTTTGCCTCTCAGCAAGATGTCTGTAGGATGGAAGCACTTAACATTGTGGGTGAATTTGTGTTTTTCACGTGCAGCTTGAAAAAAAATTCTAATGCTGAATGTTTGACAAACTGGGTGTTATGCTGGTGAACTCGAGAAGCATCGAGCTGTGTTCTGTGTATACAATATTTTGATTGTATGACAAGAGATGCTGTTTTCAAGCCTGGTCTCAGTGTTTGGCTTTACAATCTTGTAAAATAGATCTGAACATTTAGATCTGTTTTTACTGTTGTAAAACTTTCTATCATCTGGGTGTTTATATTAAAACATGTTTTGCATTGAAAAAAATACATTGATGTGCAATGAAAATACTCTGAGTCTTCAAAAAGAGCAAACCTCATAGCAACTTGGAGGTTTTTAATTTCTCTTAGCTGGTTTTAGCTGAACTAAACCCTGATTAATCACGCAGCTCAAAATGTTCCCCTTGCTGAGCACAGGGGTTAAATACAGTCACATTCTCACACTGTGAAGCGGCAAATAATTCTTTGGGATTTGGAAGGCACCTTCATTCATGGCAGTGACCCAGTGCAGTGGTTGGAGTGACAGAACATTTTCCCTCCCATGCTTTGGGTAGGACAGAACGATGACAGTTTGGGTAGCACAGACAGCTGTGGGTGAAGTGAGGCTGAGCTCCACTTGGAAAAGCCTCGTTAAGGCGGCAGTGGGATTGTTACCCTTAGGGACAGCAGAAATGGCTGCGGAATGGCTGCGGATAAGGGGGAGGAAGCAGTCGGGGTCGGGAGGAGCAGCCCCGTGGATAGCGGAGGGGTGGGAAGGTGTCGGAGGGGGAGCGTGGGCTGAAGGGGCCG